TAAAACCTTTTAAAACCTTACAAAACACTTGTAAATACTCCGTAAAACCTTTAAAATACTTTGTAAATTTTTCCCGCCAAAAAAATTTTGCCAAAAAAATTGCGGAATCACTTTTCCCGCAAAAAAAAATTTTTGGCGGGAAAAATTTTTACGGGAAAATTTTACAAGGTATTTTAAAGGTTTTTACAAGTGTTTTGGCGGGAAAATTGTGGGATCACTTTTCCCGCCTAAAAAAATTTTGTATTTTGTGGACCTAATTTTGTTTCAAATAAGGGTAAAATGGTCATTAAAAATTAAAAGAGGGCAAACTTAAAAATGGACTCTCAAAAGGGGCATTTTTGAAAAGGGGTATTGAAAAAGGGGCATTTTTAACAATTTCGCATAATAGAATATGTATCTTATTTGTTAGATGAGAGATTGAAAGATGAAGTATAATGATTAAAAATTAATTATTATTTTTCATGATTCACAAAATTTAATAAATACTTATCATCTTGTTGAATAATTCTAAAATCATATTCAAGAAATCTTTATAAATTGAAAATTAAACTTCTTTGGTAAGCTATAGGTATGAAAATATCATAATTTCGATTTAATCTAATTAAATTAAAATTAGTTACATGGATTTCATATCTATTTAATTTACACGACCAAAATAAAAATATCTATTTAATTTACACGACCAAAATAAAAATATCAATTTAATTTATAAAACAGATGAGTTATTTGTGATAAATTTTCTAGAAATCTTTAGAAGCAAGTAAAATATCTTTCAATTAATGATAATTGGCTAAAATGGGCAAAATTAATGACAAAAACGTTGATTGTTATGGAATTAGTCCCAAAAATATATGAACAAATTTATTATACGTAATTAATGTATAATATTGTTTGGAATATGCTTTTATTATTAGTTACCATAAGTACAATCAGATTTTATTTGATTTCCATAAATATTTGATTTTATTTCGATTTTTCATTATTAATTCGAATTGATATTCCAAAAAAATTTCAAAGATCCGATTTCAGAATTTCGGGTCAATTTTCTGATTTTAACCCGACCCATTTTCATTTGTACTTCTCTTTTAATAGTATAGAGATTTGGATTAGCAAAAAAATTTAGAAAAAACTTGCATTTAGGGTGAATATGTGGGTTTCAACATTATTAAACATTGTCCCAATGACTAGGCCACATTGGGTTGCAAATCCACACATATGGAGACGAAGTTTCTCATAAAAACTCCAAGTTCATCTCCGATGACATTTTTTAGATTTTATGTCAAGCTTTGTAAAGTTGGAAAGCTTGTCGACCATCTATTACAATGTGGAATCATAAATGAAATTGCTCTCTACAATCATCTAAATAAGACAACAACAAAAAAAACTTTTAGCTTTTCTAGATAAAACACAATAGATTTTACAATTGTGAAATTTCTCGAGGTCTTGTAGATCTTTAGTCATATTATTAAATGTTTGGCTAACGTTGTCTAGTTCCTCATTTATTTTGTGTTGTCTTTTTTAACAATATTCAACAAATCTGCATTCTTATCTTCCAACAACTCTTTTTCTTTTAGCAGATTCATTTCAGTTTAAATATTGAAATAAGCTTTAATTGTATGTATACTTTAAGACTATTTTATAAGTGCATTTTGTGTGTATATAATTATGGTTTTATGTATGTGTAAATTAATGGGAATATGCACTATAGGACTGAAATGAAAAAATAACTAAGATTCAATATTCTCTAATTGTGACGATCGTATCGCATAATCATGAAATTCCACCAACATTTTGATTAGGATTCAGGTCATCTTATCTAGCATTTGCAAAACCGTTAATTATGTTGAAAATTTTAGTCGATTATCATGAAATTTTATCAATTATCTTGTACATAAGTTTCCAGTGCCTAGACAAAATAGTAATACTAATTCCTAGATGTTAGATGAATATTAATACACTAATACGTCGTTATCAACGTGATTATGCACAACAATTGTATGAGAATTACAAGTGTACAACAAGTTACAACAATTGTATGGGATTATGTGATAGTGACGTGGCAATAAACCATATTACAAGTGTTGAGTATTATTGGACATGATTGGCCCACCACTTAAAAACCTCATCATAGATTCTCTTCTCCAACAAGGACACTTTTGTTCTTGGTCAATGGTCGTATCAGAGATCTCTCTCACCAAACAAAAATCGAATTTTTGTGAACAGACTTTTCCTTTATTCACATAATTTGAAACCAGAGTGATCAAAAACTATTGATACAGAAAAAGTTCGCATGTTTAGAATCCAAGCTGTGTTATCTTCGAATAGTCGAGGCCACAGCATGAGCCCAATGCCTTAGATTATCTTTTAAGTCAACTTCGTTAGCTACCGGCGCCGGAACTCTCCACTTTATCTCTGTCGTGATCTTCCCTTTTCTTCCTCCACAATGATCCCACGCTTCAGACAAATACGGTCTCGCTACTCTGTTTCCACTGCTCTTGTCTTCTTCTTCTTTTGTTACTTGCACAACTCCATCATCTTTCTTCACCAATCTCTGCAATCCAGGAAGAATCGAAACCAGATTGGAGTCTTTATGGTCTTCCTCGGAAAAGACAAAACCTAGATCCATAAACCCTTTAAGTTCCTCGTACTCCAAATCCGACATACTCTTTCCCTTTCTTGTTCTCACATTCCTCTTCTTCTTCTTCTTCCTCTGCTCTTCCTTCTCTGAAAGTACTCTCTCTCTTTCCGCAATCGTGAACGCGTTGACTTCTTTTCCGGAGAGAATCGTCTGAAGCTTCATCGGGGTTGGTTTAACGGGTAAGACCGATCTAGGAGACAAGAACAAATCATCTGATGAAGAACTAAACAAACTTGTCTTGGAACTCGTCGTCATCATCGTCTCATCACTCATAGCCCTTTCTACAAGAAAGCTCACCGGAAAATTCTTCAACACTTCTTCTTCTTTTTCCTCTGTAGTCTCTGTTTCTCTACGCTTCTCTCGACTTTTTCCATTCAGATTCTCTTTGTCTTTCTTGATGATTGATCTCTCCGACCAGTTTCGCTCGAACAGTTTCAACAACTCCTCTTCAGCCATTTTTTTAAGTTTGTTTTCTCCGCTTTTTTTGGTGTTTGGAGGAGATTGAAATGGGGTTTGGTATTTAAATCTTGTAATTAGCTATGTATGTAACTACTTTAATACCCTTAGCTTTCGTATATTACGTGTGGACCCGTTTGTTCCACAACACACTACTTACAAAGTGCAATCAAATTCAAATGGGTCAAGCCTCATAAAGTCATAATACACCATTATATTTGTTGATTAATTAATTCTTCTTTCCGTTATACAATTCAAATTGTTCATAAAATAAATAGATTTTCATTTGATGCGTACACTGTAAAGTATATGATGTATTCAAAAAATTATTCTTATTGTTTATTTATATATTTACAAATTACAACGTAAATAAAAGTACATATTATTTCATTGTGGCTCTTCGAAGGTTCGAATATCTCTAGATGCGTGTGGACGCGAAAGGGAGCGTAAGAAAAAGAGTGGAGCCATCATAAATAAACAAATAATGTATATTAAGCTACTCGTTATAATTATTTAGCAATTCATTTCATATTTAACATGTGGTAAGACATTTCCATCTTATACCTAAAAGTGACCAACCTCTCTGCACCTTATTTTGATATCTCTCAACCACGAAACCAAATTACAAAATAAAGAGTTGTTGGTTAGTCTTACGTACATATGCGTTCTCTACTTCTCGTTTATATATGTATAATCTATCTACATGTAATAGTAAAACACATATACAGTCAATAAAGGCGTCTACAATACTCGGTTCTTTATAAATTATATCTAGAGATTAGTTCTGTCCGTACCTGTATATATATCTCAAAACATAATCAAGTTGTTTCTCAGTACAGGAAGAGATACAATTTAGACATCATTACGTCTAGAATTAAACAATAATATCTAAAATACGGAAAATGGTAAATAAAGGCATTTGATTCATAAATGGTGGAAAAAAACTGGCCAATCACGAGAATATAAATTAAACTGTAAGTTATAAGATTCAAAAGTTTAAAGTAATCTGTTACTGAGAGTTAAATGATAATATTAAATTTATTATACAGTATACTAATGAACTAATATCCACAACACCCGCAAGTAGTTGACTCAAGAAAAATAAACACTTAAGTTTTTAGAGGAGATAGTTTTGTTCCATGAGTTTGATCAGAGTAACACATTAGTTGCGCTATGCCTATACTCAACGAAAGGAAGGACTGAAGGCAGTGCCGTGCCCAGGTTTATCGGAGCTTAAGGCGAGATTGTAATTAGGAGTCTTACCAATATAATTTTTTTTATATAAAATACAAATGCATGTAAATATAATTTTGAAACGTTGCAAATTATCATTTATTCCCATTCAGTAGGATTTTCAAGTTTAACTTGAGCATAAAACCTGATTGTGATTTCACAAATCCTTTATCTTTGTTTTTCTTATGTCTTCAGTATAGAACTTGAGTTAACAAATATTTAGAAGCACTAAAGCAGGTTCACAATTTGAAAATGAACAAATTGAATATAAACAAAGTACTTAAAAAAAAACAGGTTCGTCTTAAAAAGAATAAAATATTATATATGAAACTTTGGAAATAAACAGAGAAAAGAGACTCTCGGAATCTCATCAGTTTCCTCTTCCTCTTTTTTTTATTTTTTTATTTTCAGTTTTCTTTTTCTAAAACCTATTACCTATATGTAAATCCATTTTGATACATCATATTTGCTGCATTTGGGGGCCTTCAAAAATAAAACTGAAGGAGTGAGAATCAGAAGAGCCTTCCATATATTGGCTATAAGTCTATTGGTAAATCGGTAAAACTTGTTGTTAGTGTGTTTTTTCCCTAAAACGGTAACATTTTATAGAATTTGTTTGATCTTTTGCAATCAAACAGTTTCAAAGCCAAAGTCAAAGTCCAACCTTGATTTTTTATTTTTCGTGATTTGTCACTACTTTGTCCAACATTGAGCTATTTATTGTTGGGAAAAGAAGAAAACAAATTGACACACAAATTTTCTCGAAATATATACTAAATTTTATAAATATATAAGCTAAATTTCAAAACCCTAAATTAATGAAATACGAGAGCAAGACATAGCTTTTGTTGTGACCTAAAGGACCAAAGCTGCAAGTTATTACCTTCGCTAAGACTATTAGCTTTAACTACATGGTTCCATTTATATGCCAACAGATACATCGAACTCGTCTTCCCTCTCTTCCTCTTCCTCGTCTTCTTTTTCTTCACCATATCATCATCATATCCTCTCATCTTCAGCTTCCATACGTGTAACCTCGGATCGATCACTTCCACGCTTAAACCTCCTTCTCTATCCCTTTTTATTCGTTTGTGGGTCTTTATCTTTTCATCAGAAGTTAGAAAATCGTGGTTCAAAAGCTTACTCATGGGAATGGATAAACGCGACTCACCTCCATCCACATCGGTCTTAGTCAATGGTTTTTCCATTATTAATGTCTCCTCCGTGCCTCCCATCTCCATTATCTTGCTCTTTAACTTCTCTGGCAGCTCTCTATTTGCTTCAAGCTCTTCCTCTCCTACTTGCTGTTGTGGCTCCACATTGACGACGTATTGACCTTCTTGTTCGAAACGAAGAGAAAGTCGTTTTTTCAGGGGCTTTCGCTCTTCTAGGTCATTATATATATTTGCCATTGATATCCTCTTCGTTCACACATGTATTGCAGAATTTTAGTTAACGCAGTTAAAAAGTATTAAAGATGGATATTGACATTGGTAGGTTTTGCTTATTTATTTTACTTAAGATATATCCTTTAATAAAAATAAATAAAACATCAATTAAAAAGTATTAAAGATGGATATTGACATCGGTTTTGCTTATTTATTTTACTTAAGATATATCCTTACTTAAGATATATCCTTTGATAAAAATAAATAAAAAATCAATTAAAAAGTATTAAAAATGGATATTGACATTGGTAGATTTTGCTTATTTATTTTACTTAAGAGTATATCCTTTGATAAAAATAAAGAAATAATCAAATATATATAGATGCGACGCCAATATTATTATTATTTTTTGTTTAACTTATGGCAGGTGTTGGTAAAACTATAACATTAAAATCTTCATTGTAAGATGCAAGAGAGAGAGGTATAACAATTGCTTATTCGTCAACAACAATAAACTTTCTTACCAGAGATACATTTAACAATCTGAAACCTATCTTCCTCTGAAAAACCATAGAAACCTAAGAGAGTTTGACAGGGATTTTAAACTGCTTCTTGATGAGTTCCGCATCTCTCTGCTACATAAGTTCACCAGATCATATGAAGGCAGTCAGATTACTATCAAGACGACTAGAACCGAAGTTGAATCGGTAGAGAAAGAGCAGCGAGATTGACTTACTTTTGTATTGAAAACTTTCAGAATGATATATTATCACTCTGTGAGGCTGAAGAATACAAATATATATGTAACTACTTGCTCATTGTTGAAGATAAGTAGAAGTTCCAAAACACAGAACCCATTGACATGAACGCTACACGAGCTTGAAGCGGGACTACCCTGTAAATTTCACCTTTCATCAGACCTCAATGTAGAATGCTAATTCAGACTCTACACCATATATAAAGACCGCCAGATACAAATGATATAATGATAGAGAAAGAAAGCCATACCAAAAGTTAAGGATGCTAACGGGAACCCAAAAGCGAAATCCTGCAGTAATCCCAAGAACAGTAAATATATGAAAGATGCGATGTAACAGTAAAAGTTTAACTCTATGTAATTGGTATCTCACCATAAAGAAGCGTTGGAAGAGCATCTTTCTGATACTTGTTTCCGAGCTCAGAGAGTTTTCCCAGCCATAAGTTGTTCCAAGCAAATATAACAGCAATCACAGATGGACCGAGGATCACTTGGTTAAGCAGAACCTAACAAAGGGATCGGTTTAAGCAGTAGAAACTCTATCACAACATGTTCTAAGTATGATTAACAAAACAAGTCTAAGAGGTAATAGTACCTTAAGCACTAGATTTGTGGCGGTTGGTTTAGGCAAAGAATGATCAAGGAATTGGTACCACGCATAAGAGCCAGGGCCATACAAAAGAAACCCGTAAGAGCTCATCCGCAGCGCACGAATCCAGTCATGTTCTGAGAAAATGTTCCACAATTCCCCCTAAGTAAAAAAGATCCAATCATAAATCCTTAGTCTCAAGCCAAGTTCCACCAATGTACGAGACACATTTTGCAAAAGAGAAAATATGAATTACCCCAACAACAAGCACTCGAACCAAACATAACCTAATAAGAGACTGTCACTACTCACTAAACAACCATACTCACCAACATTTTTGGTTATACAAAGATCCAATTTCATTTGAAGTATCACTAAACAACTGCAGAAACTCGATTCATGTTACATTCAAATGATCAAAACATTCACTAAAACCTCTAAATTCAAATGTATGACTCGAAAATCACCAAAACTTGGTCAGAGACAAACCTCGTCAAGCTCAGAAGATGATTGTTTAAGAGCGGTTCTCTTTTTCCACCTCCCAGATAGCTGAGCAATCGTGTCACCGGTGAAAGTGAGTGCCCCGGCCGTCACAGCTTGCTTCAAAGGAAACCGATAACCGCCGGCGTCTCTGCTCACATCGACGGAATCCGACGATCCAGTATTCCTTTTCCTATCTCTATCTCCGGAAGACTTCTTCTTTCTCCGTTGTTCGAAGCCATTCCATCCCCAGAAACCACCAGCGCCGCCGCAACCACCCAATGCGTCCATTAAAAAATGCTTCCTTTTTTTCTTCGAAACAGAGTTTGCCTAAATCTTTAAAACCGCAAATGAGTCCTGTCCATTTGTTTTTCCGGTTTGGTTCGATTCCATTTTTTGGATCTTGGATTTTGGGAAACAAGTCAAAATCAAACCAAATCTGAACCGAACCAAATGTCATCAAACCGAAATAAAATTGACTGTATATGAAAATTTAATTTTAATCAGTATAATCCTTTTGATGTCACTATATTTATTTCACTGAATTTCGATTTATTTTGTTCGGTTACATATGATTCGGTATAAGAATTGAGTTGTTGTCATATTCGGTTAATTTATTTCGATTTGGTTCGGTTTTATACTTACTGTACATAAAACGATGTGGTCACGTGAAACCGGTGAAGGCGCGCGATCAGACAGGCGCGTGGTTAATAACTACGACCCACAATCGTGGTGTTGAAACGCGCGTTTTACAAGAAT